AATCCCTGGGATTTCTGGCAGGGGGTCAGAAATCCCAGAGGGAGCTTCAACAGGGGTTGGGGTCCCTCTGACTAGTGCCTGTGATAGTGCACGATCACACCCACTAGTCTCTTGGGAAGATGGGTATATTTCCGAGTAAGAAATCTGTCCCACAAGGAACACCGTTGGAATGTATTTTGAGACACTGGAAAGATCTGGGAGGTGATCCTCTGATTCAGAAGCAATTAATTGAATATTGCAGTCATTGGTGGCCAATGTATAGATTGGAAAGCGGGGAGAAATGGCCAGAGAAGGGGACATTGCAGTATAATACCATCTTGCAATTAATGTTGTTTTGTAAAAGGGAAGGTAAATGGAATGAAGTGGCATATGTTGATTTGTTCTTTACGTTGCGAAATCATCCGGAATGGCAATGTTGTGGGATACACCCACAGGATTCTATGATAATGGTTTTGAAAAAAGAGAAGTGTGGTGAGAAGTGTGGTGAGAACTCGAGAAAGCGTTGTTCTACTTGTGATATTGATAAAAGTTGCCTAAAAAAGGGAACAGGGGAGGAGGATATTGAATTAATGGTTGTGCCTCATCAGAAATGGGGTCAAGGGGTTCAAATTCCAGAGGTTGAAGATCCTTCTGCTCCTCTTCTGGGAGAGGAAGCAGAGGGATTTAGCCCAATTGCAGGGAGAACGCGGGGAAGAACAGGGGAAGCAGGAGCGGCTTCTTTCCAGGCCCCTCTCGGAGAGGCAGTGGGGAATGACGGTCCGGTAGTGGTAAAAGTTCCTTTCTCAATTACCGATTTAAGATCATGGAAAGAGATCACAGGTTCCTATCGGGAGAATCCTGAAAGAGTAGCCAAGGCGATCGAAACAATAATCAGAACTCAAGATCCTGATTGGAATGATATACAAGTAATATTGGATACTTTGCTTGATAAAACTGAAAAGAGAATGGTATTGGAGGCTGCCAGAAAACAGGTGGAGGGAGCATATGCTAATGGAGATTTACGGGGGACCGTGGACCAGAATTTTCCATCTGCAAATCCCGAGTGGGACCCCAATCAACCGGGCCCCAGGGGAATGTTGACTAGATATCAGAGATGGATTTTATTTGGTGTAAGACATGCAATGCCAAAGGCAATAAATTGGTCAAAAATTTATGAAATAAGACAGGAACCAAATGAGTCCCCCTCAGCCTTCATGGAAAGACTGAAGGTGACTGCTAGGAAGTATACCAATTTGAATCCAGAAAACCCAGAAGAAGCAGTACAATTGGCCTTTCTGTTCATGGGTCAATCGGCCCCAGATATTAGAAAGAAACTCCAGAAATTAGAAGGACCCGAATCTAGGGATTTGGGTAAAATGCTTGAAGTAGCTTGGACTGTATATAATAACCGGGG